GCTACTTTTTATCAGCTGCCAATTGCCAATTGACAGCCTGCTCCCTTCCCAGGCAGGGGAGAGGGCAGGCTGTCAATCAAGGGGCTCTCCTAAAGATGGAGGTGGCCCTATTGCACCCCCTGGTTGGAGAGCCTGACTGTGTAGCTCTCCAGCCAGATCACTGCAACACATGTATGGCGCTGGCTCCTGGGATATGTTAGTCATTATATTGAAACCTTGAAAGTCTTACCAGTAGAAATGAGCACCTGACCGTGGCCTATGTCATAGCCATGTAAACAGTGACAACAAGAGCATCATTTTGGTTGAGGATCATCTAACAAATCCATCTCTGCATTTTCTCTAGTTACAACTCTCTAATGTTCACACTTAGTACTATGTGCCCAATGACTTCTGGATATAAAAGGTCACTTGTAGACTCATAGCTTAAAAAGTATGAGTGCTGGATGTTTGTTTTAAACCATTTGGTTCTAACTTTGCTCCTCAAGCGGTGTGGCAGCTAGCCATATCATTTTTTAAACTGGCTTTGTAACCAAGGCTATAACCTGGCCCTTTATATTTTAATTTAAAGGCTATTCAGCCTGATTGTTTTGATAATATATACCATGAAATACTAGTCCCATACTATGGAGCCCTGCAGGAACTGAAAAAGTAGGATTTCTGGCTGTTAATCTAGTGTCTATGAAAACAGATGCTGAGATGATACTAAATGTACCCCTGAAACACACCCAACAATTTAGCAAAGATATTCGCTGGATCCTGATTTCATTACTTCAAGAATTCCCAAAAGCCACAAATTAGTGACCCTATAATATGTTGTTTCATGAACATCCAAATGATTCATTCTTTGTCATCTGTATGCTTTGTCATCACTAGCTAGTATAGACAAAATCATATCAAGCCCTGCTGCATTTTCCAAACAAATTTAAAAGCCTCATGCTTTCTACACTTGCTGCAGTTCTATTTTATGCTCAGACACAGTCAAAGAATGCACAACCACATTAAAAGTGTTGTGGAAAAGCCCCAGGAACATTCTCAATGCCATATTCATATCCTGCAACTCACCCTCCAAAATCACATGCAAAGAGAATAAATCCAGCTACTTCTTTTGCCCTATGGACTCTTCTTCCTTCATTTTTTTTTACTTCAGCCCCAAAGACATAAGTCACAATTACCAGAGGACTTATTTACACGTGCATTAATTCTCTGTAGTTACTGCGCATTAAGTTTAGTACCTGTAATAACAGGTACTAACTGAATGTGTGGTAACCAGTGCTACTGCGCAGTAGCACCAGCATATGTCCTTTTAATAATGCTAATGTGTAGTAGACTAACTCAGTAGACTAATTCATGGCACAGCTTTTGCCATGATGCACTAATGCGCAGTAGAATTAGTCTACTGTGCATTTAGCGTCTCTTGTAGATGCACCCAGAGAGGATAGTATCAACTCCAGTCCAGATTTCAGAAAACCTGGAGATGACATATCTGAACAAGTTCTTTGCTCGCCAGATGCTGATCATACAGCATTCTTAGCACCCCTTGGGAAGCAGGGAAATTAGAGAAATTCTGAACTTAGATCTCTGAAACAGCACTTTTGCATCTTGCAAAGAAGAGCCCAGGGTCCCTTTTATAAATTAATTTTTCAAATGGAACATGTTGGATTGAGATCCATGTTGAACTGAATCCAGCCATTAATAGTGGGGTGTCCCATTTATCCACAGACTAACTGTAGTTACACACTTCTTCACACTGCCTGCAGGGCCTATGTACTTCTGCCATTCAGTGCATGCCTTCACAGGATTGGCATCAAGAACCAAAAGATACTTATGCATTTTGTGTGCTATGGAGGTATATCCACTAGGGTTTGGAGACAAGGGTGAGGGCACAATTTAAGAGACTGAGGATAGAGAAGAGTTGTTTCATAGATAATTTACTGGCTGGCTAAAAGACCTGAACTAATCTGTAAATATTTGATCTTTAAAGCTGCTAAGTGCATTATACAATGACGTGTCAGTGTACCTAGAATACTTGCATGGGCATCTTGCATGTGCTATTGTTTAAATCTAAACATGAATGAATATCACATTTTGCATGCTGCTAGTTTTTGGTCCTTACCCATAGAAATATGGATTAAACTAATGATCTTGAGGCAGAAGATTCTGTATCATATAGGCTATTACAAATCATCTTTGCCATCAGATCCCTATTGGCCAAGTGACCAAATAGAGATGAGCCAGAAGTGAAACCCGTGTTTCAACCTGAACTTCCTGTCATCTCATTAGCCAATATTAAATGTACAAGTTCAAACACCTCCAAGATATGGCGTGTGTGAAAGACAATCGAAACGGGTGAGAATGGGTTTCATCATCCCATGGAAATCTGCAAGATTTCAAAAGTTTTTCATCTCATCATTGGGACAAAACCAAGATGTCCTGAAGAGAAAGAGACAGACCAGCCTACTCCAGAATAAATGATGGTCCAATGGGGTGGGCATTCACCCGGGTGATCCCGCTTTGTGTCGTTCAGACCACACGGGAGAATAGTCTCTTACATGCTGGGTGACTGCTTTAACTATTAGTCTACTTGCCATTTTATAGTGAATTACATCTACTATCTTCTGTTGGAGCTGTTCTGCTTTGTTAAAACTAAATAAAAACAGCGAAACAGTCATTCATCTAGAGAGAGAGGCCAACTCAATAGCCTAGTGTTTTGTTCCCCAACCTGAGAGGGGGGAAACTGAGGTTAAGTCTGAATCAGGCAGACAAGTCCTTTAATGTGAGTCTTGCACATCCCAGCTGAGCGCTGTAACTCCTGGGCTTGAAGCTATTCTGGGTCCGAGAGTCTCTTTCTGATAAAAATGTCATCCCTTTCTGTACCTAGTACATACCAGTCACATACACTGCTACATTTTTTTGGTGATAATTCAACATGTTCTGTTAAAAAAAACACAACTGCATTGTCAAAAAAATACCAAACAGTTTATTTCATATCTGGATCAGAACTCAGCAGCTCAAGGCCATCTTTACTTTACATGAAGTCAGTCTGTTTTCTAGCAAAGCTTTAACTTTTCAGCCATCTGCAATGCCAAGAGAGCAGCCCAGAGAACATGAATAAAGGAGCCACTGCCATGCAAACACCACTGTCATATCAGCTGTTTTCCACCCTCCTAGGGCCAACAAAAAGCCTGTTTAATAGATGCTGTGCATTCTCTCTCAATTTGGTTAGCACTTGCAAGACAAGAGCGGACAGAGGGAATAATGATGTATAAAAAGGCAGCCATAAATGAAGAAGTGAACACTAACACACAGC